TGTGACAATAAATGGAACAGGGAGGAATAAAGAAAGACATGGGGGCTCCATCTTTCTTCTCCAAACATATACTCTTTGCCCCTCCAACAACTTGGACCTCAAATGGGAGAACCTCACCCAGAAGGTATCCTCGGGAAGAAAAGAAATAGAAAAGCCAAAGGCAAAATGGGAAGGGAAAAAGTGCCTCCTCACACACATAGGGATACTGAAAGGTCTTTATTGCCCACTGGCCACTGATAGTTTCCCAGCCACATGCTAGGCCCTCTAGGTCTCTCCAACCCACTCTAAGGACCTGTGAAATGCAGCCACAGTCCAGCTCTCTTTTTCCCTCTCCTTCCAGGGGACCAAGGTGCCCTCTGGGGCATACAACATGGCAGCAGGACCGTGGGAAGAGGGGCAGGAGGACTGAGCAGCATTCTCTGTAGAGGAGGACAGGAAAGGAGACCTCTCTTGGCACTCATTTATGGAGGGTTGTCCCTGAAGAGAAGGGCAGGTGGGAGAGGTTCCCTGTTACTTAGGAGAAAGCACCAGTGGCAAAGAGCACAATGAAGAGGATGATAATGAAAACAATCACGCAGATAAGGACAATCATCTTCACGTTCTTCCACCAGAACTTCCGAGCCACCTTCTGCGATGTCGTCTTGAAGTGCTCAGACTGTTGAGGATAAGGCAGAGTGAGTGACCCAGTGGCTCCTCCCACTGAAACAAGAGTGCAAGAATACAAATGCAGCCCACAGACCATACATCTTTTTTTTTTTTTTTTGAGATGGAGTCTCACTCTGTTGCCCAGGCTGGAGTACAGTGGCGAGATCTTGGCTCACTGCAGCCTCCACCACCCAGGCTCAAGTGATTCTCCTGCCTCACTCAGCCTCCTGAGTAGCTGGGATTACAGGCACCCACCACCACACCCAGCAAACTTTTGTATTTTTAATACAGATGAGGTTTCACCATGTTGGCTAGGCTGGTCTCGAACTCCTGACCTCAAGTAATCTGCCCACCTGGGCCTCCCAAAGTGCTAGAATTACAGGCATGAGCCACCACACTGGGCCTACAAGGCTAGACATCTGTCTGTTTGTTTATTTGAGACAGTTTCACTCTGCCTCCCAGGCTGGATTGCAGTGGTGCAATCTCAGCTCATTGCAACCTCTGCCTTCCAGGTTCAAGCAATTATCCTGCCTTAGCCTCCCAAGTAGCTGGAATTACAGGGGTGCACCACCATGCCCAACTAAGTTTTATATTTTTAGTAGAGATAGGGGTTCACCAAGTTGGCCAGGCTGGTCTTGAACTCCTGACCTCAGGCAATCCGCCTGCCTTGGCCTCCCAAAGTGCTGGAATTACAAGCATGAGCCACCATGCCCAGCTTTGTTTGTTTGTTTGTTTTTTGAGACAGGGTCTCACTCTATCACCCAGGCTGGAGTGCAGTAGCACAATCTCAGCTCACTGCAGCCTCCATCTCTAGGGCTCAAGCAATCCTGCCTCCTCAGCCTCCTGAGTGCTGGGACTACAGGCACATGCCACCATACCCTGCTCAAGCCATACATCATAATACTGACACTGTAAGCTGAGGTAACAAACTACTAAATAAAAGATGCTCTATCCACCTACCTTGACAAATATACCTTCCTAAAAATCTGGAAGGCCAGGTTGAAATTTAGAATTCTTAAAATCCTGGGAGGTCGCTACCTAGATACGACTAGGGGTTCCCTTTCTCTTCTTACCCCTGCACTGCCATGCACACTGAGGGGTCCTTGAAACCTGCTCACACCCAAAGGTACAACACTGGCAGCACAGTCTGCTCTTGGAAGGGCAGACTCTGGGACTGAGGAGTGCAGGCTCCAGGTGGGCACCTCTCCCAGCTCCAAGACTCCTTGCTGAGGCTGAAGGAGGGACCAGGACAGGACAGAGGGTTGGAAGTAAGGGAACTCCTCCTCTTCCACCCACTCTTTCCCATCCCCAGCAATTCGAGTTAGAGACACTGAATTTCCTAGAGCTTGGCCGGGCATAGTAGCTCAAGTCTGTAATCCCAGCACTTTGGGAGGCCAAGGCGGGCAGATCATCTGAGGTCAGGAGTTTGAGACCAGCCTTGCGAACATGGCGAAACCCCATCTCTACCAAAAATACAAAAAATTAGCCAGGTGTGGTGATGCACACCTGTAATCCCAGCTACTCAGGAGGCTGAGGCATGAGAATCGTTTGAACCTAGGAGGTGAAGGTTGCAGTCACCCAAGATTGTGCCTCTGAGCTCACTTCTATCCTCAGCAACAGAGTAAGACTCCGTCTCAAAAAAAAAAAGTCCCTAGGCTGTGCTCTCCAAATTAAGCTACGTTTAAGCTGCAGAAACAGGCACTGAGTCCCAGGGAGACAAGGGAGCAGTACTCAAGGGCCAGGAGTTCACACAGAACTCAGAAAGCCAGAGCAGGCCTCTCCCCGAACACAGAACCTGAGGCTCCAGGCTTTGCTCAACTTTGGAGTTACTTCCTCCCTGAAACAGCTGGCCTCAGCCCCTGGCTGGAGAGAGGAATGAGGTCTAGCAAGATGTGTGGGAGATATTATTCTAGCCTTCATCTAGCAGGGGACCCTGGGATCAAAGCATTTTACTGCTCTTTCCAGCTTGTTTTTAAAGCCAACTTACCAAGATGCCAGCAATTTCTCACCCTTTGCCTAATAGCTCCTAGAGAAGGCTAGAGGCCATAGGGGAGTTTCCTCAGAGCCAATATTTCTGCCCTGGGAAGGTCAGATGCAAATGATTGTCTTGGGCAGGCTTCAAAGGGAAATTCAGTTTCCCAGGAGAGAATCCTAAGAATGCAGGGGCTGACTGAGCTATTGGTCTCAGAACATGCCTCTATGGGCGAGCTGCCACCTCAAGCCCCAGTCATGGGATCCATTCCCTGGGATCCCTAACAATCTGTGGATCAGAGCAGATTCAGAAGTAGAGACTGCTCATATCAGCTCCCAAACCTGGTGAAAAGCAACAGAAATGGCTAACTTCTGGCCCTCGTGTTTATTTTGCCCCACCAAAAAGAAATTCCCTTCCTCCCTCTTTTCCTCCAACCCCCAGTGGGTTTCCCGTCCTCACTGTGGCTTCCAGATCCTCTGTCTTGTTGCGGAGATGCTCCAAGTTTTCCCCTCGGGCCAGGATCCGCTCCACATTCTGGGTCATGATATTCTTAACTCCCTCCACCTCACTCTGCAGGTTCCTTACGCGATCATTTCCTCCACCTTCACTGCCTTCCTCCTGCACAGCAACATGGGGTTAATTAGAACAAGTGCTGGGGGAACTGGAGAATTGGCCTCAGAGGTCTGGGGAGTGTAAGGCCTCAGGCAGACTTTAGCTTTTTGTAAAATGCTTGAAATGTTTACAAAGAGAATGTTTTCATGTATTGTGTAATAAAAAATAAATGCATTTGTAAGCCTCAGAAGGTGAGATGTGATGCTAAACAGACTGGATCAAACTCCTTTTTGGGCCCCTGACAAGGAAAAGCAGCACATCACTAAATCCCTCCCCACTGCTTCCTTGCTCCCTAAAGAGGGCCATAGAATACAGCAGAGCCGCATTGCATCTCACAGTGTTCCCCGCCAGGGCAGAGCCCACCACTATTTACAATGCCTGGAGCCACCCCCCCTTTCCTGATTTCTCTGGATCCTCATTGAAAGTGTCTGTGCTAGGTGTGGTGGCTTGGCCTGTAATCCCAGCACTTTGGGAGGATGGGGCGTGTGGATCATGAGGTCAGGAGTTTGAGACCAGCCTGGCCAACATGGTGAAACCCCATATCTACTAAAAATACAAGAAATAGGCCGGGCGTGGTGGCTCACACCTATAATCCCAGCACTTTGGGAGGCCAAGGCGTGTGGTTCACAAGGTCAAGAGATCGAGACCATCCTGGTCAACAAGATGAAACCCCGTCTCTACTAAAACTACAAAAATTAGCTGGGCATGGTGGTGCGTGCCTGTAGTCCCAGCTACTCGGAAGGCTGAGGCAGGAGAATTGCGTGAACCCAGAAGGCGGAGGTTGCGGTGAGCTGAGATCGTGCCATTGCATTCCAGTCTGGGTAACAACAGTGAAACTCTGTCTCAAAAAAAAAAAAAAAAAAAAAATATATATATATATATATATATATATATATACACATACACATACACACACACACATATATATATATATATACACACACGCATATATATAATAGCTGGGTATAGTAGCAGGTATCTGTAACCCCAGCTACTCGGAGGCTGAGACAGGAGAGTCGCTTGAACCAAAAAGGTGGAGGTTGCCGTGAGCCAAGATTATGCCATTATACTCCAGCCTCGGCAACAGAGCCAGACTCGAGCCAAAAAAAAAAAAGAAAGTGTCTGTGCTGGCCAGCAAAATATCCTCACCTAGCCCAACCTATCTGTCCCTCCAAGACAGCTGCTGGAGCCCTGCTCTGGCTACAATGCCATTGCTGTGACCCAGAGCAACAGGCAACCAAGTCCCCCAGAAGGCGCCAGGAACCGTTGAGCCACACACTTCTGCTTTCCCCACCACTGGGCACCACGTGCAGGTACCAAGGAACTGCCTGCTTATGCAGATGCTAAATAAAAACACCCATCTTGGCATTGGGGGAAATGGAGGACTAGTCCTCCCTGGCTGATGTCTCATCTGGGAAGCTTCATGACCAAGTGTTTGAACAAGGAGAGAAAAATACTATTAAGCTCCTCCCTCCTTGACCTCCAAAAACAAGCCAGTGGCACGGGTCAGAACTGGATTATCACAGAGAACCAATTTCTGGTTCTTTATAAACGCTTAGTTCTCTTCTTCACGTTAATGGAGAAAGGACACCCGAAGGACTCCGTGGACACACAAATCCCTTGTGTTTCTGTGTGGGAATAAAGTGAAAGGCCCGAGACAGCTCCTGCCACTGGGTTGGAATCTGAACTGGGAACTGCTGGGGCGCTGCCTTGTAGCGTCACAACACCCGCCTCGGGGCTCCCTGGAGGAGGAAGGCGTAACAACTATTTGCCTGGAATTCGGAGCCCCGTCGGCACCAGCACCGAAGCCCAGCTCGTGACGAGCACAGAGGTCAGGGGAGGGAGGGAGGGAAAAGGAGTAGGAACACCTCCCAGGACGGCTCAGAGCTATTTGCAGCCAAGTTGTCAAAGAGGAGAGGCCACAGGCAGCACTGGCCCAGCCCTCTAACTTTGCCACCAACTCTCCTCCCCCATCACAGTTAACCCCCGGTCCCGAGCCCCCTCTGGCCCCTCTTTAAAACAGCCCTTTCCTCGTTCCCGGTTCTCTCACCATATCTCAGAGCAGCTCAGGCCGGTCAGCAGGTGAATTCGCCTCGTCGGCTTCCTCCTAGGGTGGCCCTCGGCTCACTTCCTGCTTGCTCCAACTTTCAGCCTGCCCCCGCCCACCTCGCATCTCGAGTCGCTCCAGCCACACCTAACTCAGGTTTCCCCAGGTAGGCGGGCACTCTTCGCAGTCTCCCAGTGGCTTCCCAAACAAGAGCTTAAGCTTAAAGCAAAAGGGCTCTCAGATGCCAAAGGTCTTCTAACTTGTCAGGAATTAGAAAAGAAAGATCAAGCAGCCCTCCTAGGTTTTCTGAGGCTGGACCTCCTGATCTAGAAAGAGCAGCCATATCTTTTTTTTTTTTTTTAATAGAGACGAGGTCTCATTGTGTTGCCCAGGCTGGTCTCAAACTTCTGGGCTCAGGCGATCCTCCCACCTTAACCTCCAAAGTCCTAGGAGCCATGACGCCCCACTAGCGATTTCCTTTTTATATCTTGAATATCTGACTCCAGTTTCTAGACACCGAGATCAACCATGCCAGGCCTAGTTCACAGGGAAATAGAATGCAGTTATGAAAATTTCTTGCTGGACAGCTTTCGTTCTCAGGTCCTTGGGTGGCAGAAAGCACTAAAACCCCTGAAGTCTGGAATACTGTGATCCTGGGCTCTGATGTCAGAAAGCTCTGGGTTATTAGTTGCAGGCCCCTGAGTGAAACTTTTTACCTCTGCGGAGTTGGCAGGTGTTGATGCTTAGCTAAGATGGTGCTGGTAAGAAGCAAAAAGAGGTCTGGGTGCGGTGGCTCACGCCTGTAATCCCAGCACTTTGGGAGGCCGAGGCGGGCAGATCATGAGGTCAGGAGATTGAAGCCACCCTGGCCAACATGGTGAAACCCCGTATCTACTAAAAATGCAAAAATTAGCCAGGCATGGTGGCACAAGCCTGTAATCCCAGCTACTCGGGAGGCTGAAGCAGGAGAATCGCTTGAACCAAGGAGGTGGAGGTTGCAGTGAGTCGAGATAGTGCCATTGCACTCCAGCCTGTGCAACAAGAGCAAGACTCCGTCTCAAAAAAAAAGAAGCAAAAAGATAGCATGTGCAGTGCAATGCCTCTAGCACAGTGTCCGTAATGATGGCTCACCAACAATCCCCTTCTTCCCTTCCAGAGTTCAGCAAATCTGCATTTCCCTTCAGGGGACTCTGTGGAGGTCATTTATCCCAGTCAGTGATCAGAGGACTGGCCCAGTGGACCACAGCAGGGGGCCCAAGGCAAAGGATTTTTCCACTAACCTGGCTCTAGGCCAGAGAAAATCTGTTCTTCCTTGACAGTGTTTATCAAGACGGAAGAACAATAACAGGGACATTCAGAAGGGAACGAACATTCTTGACCCATTCCAGAAGAAATCAGTTCCAAGGAGGAAATGTCAGCTTCCCCAACAAATACTTTTTTTGTTTGTTTATTTTGTTTTGTTTTCTTGAGATGGTCTCCCTCTGTCACCCAGGCTAAAGTCCAGTGGCATGAACTCAGCTCACTGCAGCCTTGAACTCCCAGGCTTCAGCGATCCTCCTGTTTTAGACTCTCGAGTAACTGGAACTACAGGTGCAAACCACCATGTCTGGCTTTTTTTTTTTTTTAACTTTTTGTAGAGATAGGGGCTTTACCACCCTTAGAATGTTGCCAAGGCTGGTCTCAAACTCCTGTTCTCAAGTAATCCTCCCTCCTCAGCTTCCCAAAGTATTGAGAATATAGGTGTGAGCCACCACATCCAGACTCCAGACACAAATACTTTTTTTTTTTTTTTTTTTTTTTTTGAGACATTTCTCCCTTGTCGTCCAGGCTGGAGTGCAATGGTGCTATCTAGGCTCACTGCAGCCTCCACCTCCCAGGTTCAAGCGATTCTCCTGCTTCAGCCTCCCCAGTAGCTGGGACTGCAGGAGCACACCACCATGCCCAGCTAATTTTTTGTATTTTTAATAGACACAGGGTCTCACCATGTTAGCCAAGGTGGTCTCGAACTCCTGACCTCAGGTGATCTGCCCACCTCAGACTCCCGAGTACTGAGATTACAGGTGTGAGCCACCATGCCCACCCAGACACAAATACCTTGTTAAAGGTTTTAAATAGATTTTGGACCCGTATAGCTTTTTTTTTTTTTTTTAGAGACAGGGTCCCACTCTGTCATGCAGGCTACAGTGCAGTGCAGTGTGTTCAAGCTCACTGCAGCCTTGAACTCTTGGGCTCAAGCAATCTTCCCACCTCACCCTCCCCAGTTAGCTTGGATTACAGGCACGGGCCACCATGCCCAGTTAATTTTTTTTTTTTTGGAGATAGTGTCTTGCTGTGTTGCCCAAACTGGTCTTAAACTCCTAAGTTCAAGCGATTCTCCTACCTCAGCTTCCCAAAGTGCTGGGGTTATAGGCATGACCCACCACACTCAGCAAATAATATTATATATAAGCCCGGGCAACATATCAAGACCCTGTCTCTATAATAAAATAAAAGCCAGGCGTGGTGGAGCATGTCCATAGTCCTAGCTGCTTGGAAAGCTAGCACAGGAGGATCACTTGAGCCCAGGGGTATGAGACTGCAGTGAGCTATGATAGTGCCACTGCACTCCAGCCTGGATGACAGAACAGGTGACCCTGTCTCTGATAATGATAATGATAATAATAATAATAATAATAATAATTTTGAGGCCAGGCGCAGTGGCTTATGTCTGTAATCCCAGCACTTTGGGAGGCCAAGGTGCGTAGAATGCCTGAGCTCAGGAGTTTGAGACCAGCCTGGGCCACTTGGTGAAACCCCATCTCTACTAAAATACAAAAAATTAGCTGGGCATGGTGGCGCATGCCTGTAATCCCAGCTACTCAGGAGGCTGAGGCAGGAGAATTGCCTGAACCCAGGAGGCGGAAGTTGAGGTGAGTCAAGATCGCGCCATTGCACTCCAGCCTGGGTAACAAGAGCGAAATTGTGTCTAAAAAAAAAAAAAAAAAAATTAGCCAGGCGTAGTGGCATATGCCTGTAGTCCCAGCTACTCGGGAAGCTGAGGCGGGAGAATTGCTAAAACCCAAGAGGCAGATGTTGCAGTGAACCAGGATTGCCCCACTACACTCTAGCATGGGCAACAGAGTGAGACTCCATCTCTTAAAATAATAATAATAATAATAGACCGGGTGCGGTGGCTCACGCCTGTAATCCTAGCACTTTGGGAGGCCAAGGTGGGTGGATCACCTGAGGTCAGGAGTTCAAGACCAGCCTGGCCATTATGGTGAAACCCCATCTTAAAAAGAAAAAAAAAGGAATAATAATACTAATTTTGGCCAGCCCTGGTGGCTCACACATGTAATCCTAGCACTCTGGGAAGCTGAGGCAGATGGATCACCTGAGGTCGGGAGTTTGAGACCAGCCTGACCAACATGGTAAAACCCTGTCTCTACTAAAAGATACAAAATTAGTTGGGCATGGTGGCGCATGCCTGTAATCCCAGCTACTCGGTAGACTGAGACAAGAGAATCGCTTGAATCTGGGAGGCAGAGGTTGCAGTGAACTGAGATGGCGCCATTACACTCAGCCTGGGCAACAAGTGTGAAACTCTGCCTCAAATAATAATAATAATAATAATAATTTATGTATTGATGATATGGTGAAATTATGTTTGGCTATATTGTTAAATAAAAAAATAGTAAAATTAATTTCACCTTTTTTTTTTTTTTTTTGAGACAGGGTCTCACTGTCACCCAGGCTGGAGTGCAGTGGCATGATCATAGTTCCTTATAACCTCATATTCCTGGTTTCAAGCGATCCTCCTGCCTCTGCCTCCCAAAGTGTTAGGATCACAGGCATGAGTCACTGTGCCCAGCCCTGTTTCTCTTAAAAGTAAGAGAGCCACATATGTGGCTTATGGCTGGGCATGGTGGCTGATCCATACCTTAATATTTACATGACCTGGGACAAACTTGCATAACAACTCTAAGCCTCAGTTATTTCATCATCTGTGTGTAGCACTCAAAAAAACCAGTAGGTTGGGTGTGGTGGCTCACACCTGTAATCCCAGCACTTTGGGAGGCTGAGGTGAGAGGATTGCTTGAGCCTGGGATTTCTTTTTTTTTTTTTTCTTCTTGAGACAGAGTCTTGCTCTATCACCCAGGCTGGAGTGCAATGGCATGATCTAGGCTCACTGCAACCTCTGCCTTCCAGGTCCAAGCAATTCTGCTGCCTTAGCCTCCTAAGTAGCTGGGATGACAGGCGTCCGCCACCATACCCAGCCAAGTTTTGTAATTTTAGTAGAGACAAGGTTTCACCATATTGGCTGGGCTGGTCTCAAACTCCTGACCTCAGGTATTCCACCCACCTTGGCCTCCCAAAGTGCTGGGATTACAGGAATGAGCCACTGTGCCCAGCCAAGCCCGAGATTTCAAGACCAGACTGAGCAACATGGTGCTCAGTCTTTTTCTTTTTCCTTTTTTTTTTTTAGAAGTAGTTTTGCTCTTGTTGCCTAGACCGGAATGCAGTGGCACAATCTTGGCTCACAGCAACCTCTGCCTCCCAAATTCAAGTGATTCTCCTGCCTCAGCCTCCCAAATAACTAGGATTATGGGCACATGCCACCACACCCAGCTAGCTAATTTTTATATTTTTAGTAGAAACAGGGTTTCACCATGTTGGCCAGGCTGGTCTTAAACTCCTGACCTCAGGTGATCTGCCCACTTCGGGCTCCCAAAGTGCTGGGATTACAGGCATGAGTAACCATGCCTGACTGACCCTGTCTTTTTCAAGAAAAAAAAAATTTTTTT